GAACTCCTGGGTTTAAGCGATTCCCCCGCCTTGGCCTCCCAGAGTGCTGGGATTACAGGTGTGTGCGGTCACGCGCAGCCACACCTTTGATGTTTTACACCCTGGGAACGATGGGGTTGCTTGTTACTGCAGGGAACCCAGCTCATCCTGACCGCAACATTGGCCTTTCCGTTCACTCAGGGTGTGAACTTGGGACAGTCACTTCTCTGAGTCCAGTTTCCCCACCTGTACAGAGAGAATATAACAGGCTCGGCCTCCCAAGGCTACTCTAAAAATTAGAGAAGCTCGGATGTCTTAAAGTCCAGGTTAAAGTCTGATCTCTATTCACTGGCACAGTTGCTGTTATTATGTTTCAATCTGGTTTTGGCTGGGCGTGGTGTCTCACTCCTGTAGTCCCAGCACCTTGGGAGGCTGAGGCTGAAGGATTGCTTGAGGCCAAACAGCAAGGCTCTGTTTCCACAAAATAAATAAAGAGATCAGTGAGCAAGCTGATGCCGGGCTCGGTGGCTCAGCCTGTAATCCCGCGCCTTTGGGAGGCCGAGGTGAGTGGATCGCCTGAGCCCGCGGGTTCGAGACCCACCTGGGCAACTTGGCGAGACCTCATCTCTACAATAAATCAAAAATGAGCCAGGCGTGGTAGCGCACACCTGTGGTTCCGGCTACTTGGAAGGCTGAGGCGGAAGGATCGCCGGAGCCCAGCAGGTTGAGGCTGTGGTGGCCGGGTGCGGCTACTGCACCGGCCACCGCACTACGGTCTGGGCGACGGAGTGAAACTCCAACTCAAAATAAATAAATAAATAAGCAAGCTGAGTACAAAACGGATAGATAGATAGATAAGCAAACTGAATGGTGTGGTAGCATGCATCCGTACTCCCAGCTACTCAGGAGGCTGAAGCAGTAGGATAGCTTGAGCCCAGGAGGTCAAAGCTGCGGTGAGCTGTGATTGTGCCACTGTACTCCAGACTGGGTTACAGAGTGTGAACCTGACTCAAAAAAACAAAACAAAGCAAAAGGCTGGGCATGGTGGCTCAAGCCTGTTATCCCAGCCCTTTGGGAGGCCGAGGCAAGAGGATTGTCAAGGTTGCGGTGGTTGTGAGCGTGCCACTGCACTCCAGCCTGGGCGACAGAGTAAGACACTGACTCAAAAAAATAAAATGAAAGCGGGTTTGGCAGCCCCTTGGCCTCCCATCATGAGACAAAGCAGTAGGAAGACCCTTACCAGATGCAGGTACCAGACATACTCTTGGACTTCCCAGCATCCAGAGCCCTGAGCCAAACACGCTTCTCAAAACAAACTCCTCAGTCTGCAGTGCTTGTTATTGTAGCCGAAAATGCAGCAAGACAGGCCGCCATACCAAAATACCCCCGTGTGGGTGGCTTAAACAGAAATGTCCTTTTTCACAGTTCTGGGGACTGGTCGTCTAAGATCAAGTGCCAGCAGGGCTGACCTCGTCCGAGGCCTCTGTCCTCAGCATGCAGATGGCCACCTCCTGACTGTGTCCTCACTTGGCCTTACTTCTGTGCACCTGCAGCCCTGGTGTCTCTTCCTCTTCTTGTAAGGACATCCGTCCTGCTGAGTTGAGGCCCACTGAGATGACCTCACTTAACCTTAATTCTCTCTGTGAAGGCCAGTCTCCAAGCGAAATCCCACTGGGACTTAGGCTTTGATGTACGGATTACGGAACACCATTCAGCCCACAGTGGAGTCAGAACTGCATGAGCTGCAAGGAGTGTGGTCAGACTCAGAGAACTTACTCTTTATTTTATTTTATTTTTGAGTTGGAGTCTCATGCTGTCGCCCAGGCTGGAGTGCAGTGGCCGCTCCCGGCCACCGCAGCCTCAACCTGCTGGGCTCAAGCGAACCTTCCGCCTCAGCCTTCCAAGTAGCCGGAATTACAGGCATGCGCCACCCTGCCTGGTTAATTTTTTGATTTATTGTAGAGATGAGGTCTCACCATGTTGCCCAGGCTGGTCTCGAACCCGCAGGCTCTGGCAATCCTCTTGCCTTGCCCTCCCAAAGTGCTGGGATTACAGGTGTGAGCACTGCATCTGGCCATGCAATGGAGGTTTTATGCCAGCAGCCTTGGGCTTGAATAAAAGTCCTCTGATTCGGAAAAGGGGAGAAGGGATATCGGGGTTTGACAAGCTACTGCTCATAGAGAGGAGAGGCCGTGGGTTCTCTCTGCGGTCAGGAGACCCTCACTCCTGGCCCTGAGTCCTGGTCACCTGGCTGACCCTCTTAGCTAGGAGAAGGCCAAAGGCGCAGGCCCTGGGCATTTGGGAGGTCTCTGGACAGAGAAGCCTTTCACCGTGAGAGTTTGTGTTCTGAGTCAGCAGGAGGGTGACTTCTCCTCCTCCAAGTTCTTCCTCATCCTCTTACTGGTTTCCTGTTGCTGCTGCACCAAGTTGCCACGAACCCAATGGCTTACAACTACGCAGTTCTAGGCTGGGCATGGTGGCTCATGCCTATAATCCTAGCACTTTGGGAAACCAAGGTGAGAGGATTGCCTGAGCCCACGGGTTCAAGATCAGCCTGGGCAAATTGGCGAGACCTCATCTCTACAATAAATCAAAAAAATTAGTGGGGCGTGGTGGTGCATGTCTGTAGTTCCTGCTACTTGGAAGGCTGAGGCAGAAGGATTGCCGGAGCCCAGCAGGTGGAGGTTGTGGTGGCCATGAGTGTGCCACTGCACTCCAGCCTGGGCAACAGAGTGAGACTCCTACTCAAAAACAAAGCAAAACAAAACAAAACAGCTGGGTGTGATGATGACTCATGTCTGTAATCCCAGCACTTTGGGAGGCCAAGGTGGAAGCATTGCTTGGGGCCAGGAGTTCGAGACCAGCCTAGACAAGTAGGCAAGACCTTGTCTCTACAATAAATCAAAAAATTAGCTTGGCATGGTAGTGTGCCCCTGTAGTTCCAGGACTTGGAAGGCTGAGGTGGAAGGATCCCCTGAGCCCAGCAGGTCGAGGCTGCGGTGGCCGTGAGTGTGCCACTGCACCCCAGCCTGGGCGACAGACTGAGACTCCAACTAAAAAAAAAAAAACTGAAGCAAAACGAATGAACAAACAAACAAACAAACAAATAAAAAACAGTTCTGGAGCTCAGGCATCCCAGCGGGGTGTCACGGGGCTAACCTCAATGTTTTGTCCAGGCTGTGTTGCCTCTGGAGGTTCTCGGGGGAGAATCCATGTTCTTGCCTTTTCCGGCTTCTGGAAGCTTCTTGCATTCCTTGATGCGTGCCCTTCTCCCTGCCCAAAACTGGCAATGGTCCATGGAATCTTTTTTTTTTTTTGAGTCGCAGTCTCACTCTGTCGCCCAGGCTGGCGTGCAGTGGCCGCTCCCGGCCTCCGCAGCCTCGACCTGCCGGGTTCAGGCGATCCTTCACCTCAGCCTTCCAAATAGCCGGAACAACAGGCGCCCGCTACCACGCCCGGCTCATTTTTTGATTTGTAGTAGAGACGAGGTCTCGCCAAGTTGTCCAGGCGGGCCTTGAACCCGTGGGCTCGGGCATCCCCTCACCTCGGCCTCCCGAAGCGCTGGGAGGACTGATCCGAGGCGCCGCCTTGGCCTTTGGCCCCTTCCCCATCTCCAGGTGCATCACCCTGACCCCTGCGGCTTCATCAAGCGACTGCTTCTCTGAGGCCTCCTCCTGTGTTTCCGATAAAGACCCTCGTGGGTACGTTCAGGGCCCACAGGGTGATGCCGGGTCGTCTCTCCATCGCAGGGTCTCCGTCTTAATCACACCTGCAAGTCTTTTGCCAGGTATGATAGCACTCACAGGGGATCAGGATGTGGACATCGTCGGGGGGCCATTATTTAGCTTGCCATCCCACCCGCCCCCAGCAAAAGCCACAGCCCCCCTCTGCACCACCTGCCCCTCCACGTCCTGACCTCCCCTCCCACCCTTCCCTCACTGCCTCCACCCTACAGCCTCCTGCTGCTCCTTGAACATGCCAGCCATGCTACTACCGCAGGGCCTTTGCACTTGCCGTTCCCTCTGCCTGGAATGCTCTTCTCCCAGAGCCCCACAGAGCTCCCTCCTTCCCCTCCCTCAGGTCTTCGCTCATGTGTCCTCTTCTCGGCGAGGCCTCCACTGCCCTCCCTACATCTCAAAGACGATACTCCCGATCCTCCTCCCCTCTTGAATTCCCTGGTGTCCTCGTCACCCTCTCACACACCACGTATGTTAGTTATTTGTCTTGTTCCCCGATTCTCTCCCATGTCAGAGTGACCCTCCAGGAGGGCAAGCGTGTTCGTCTGTTTTGTCCCCTGCCCAAAGCTGCAAGAGTCTAGAACTGTGCCTGGCATACAGCCAGGGCTCGTTTATTGCCGGATGAATGCTAGGTCAAGGGGCGACAGGCTGAGTCCATGCTTGGGGCCCGGGGCTGGGTGGGGGGTGGGGAGAAGGGAGCCACTGCCCTGAGGGGCTTGTGAGACTCAGGGTAGGGCAAAGGCCAGAGGCTGGCGGCAGGTTCGGAGAGCGACTGGGGCTGCCGGAGTGGGCCTGGCGGCCGAGGTAACTTGCCGGGACCGTCGTGTGGGGCCACGGGCCTCCCTGCCACCTGTCTTGCCCCTCGGGCCTGTGTGGTGGGGCGGTAGCCTCATCCCCAGGGGAGGGCACTGGTGGAGTGGGGTGGGGCATTGAGGCCAGACCCTCAGGAACCCACCCAGGTTCCTCACCCCAAATATCCAGGCAGGGCTGCCGAGGCACGGGAGGGGGCAGGAGCCTGTCTCTGCCAGGCACGCAGCCTAGGCCGGGTTTCTTGAAGGGACAGACAGAAGGGGCTCTGTGCTTGGGGTGAGCCAGGCGCTGGGCCCCTTTGTCCTGGGCTGTCTGCCTCCCGGGACACCCGCCCATGTGCTGCTGGGCCTTCCGCCGAGTCTGTGTCCTCAGACCCAGGCCCTGAGGCCTTGTCCTGCTGGTCTCAGGAGGGAGGCCCCAGAGGAGGCCTGAGGCCCTGTCTTCTCCTGGCTGGGCTGGCCTGGCCCGGGCCCTTCAGGACGTTGGCACCAGCTGGCAGTAAGGGGCCGGGTCGGGGTTTAGCAGGTCCTGGGGGTGGAGAAGGAGAGGAATTAGGATGGGGGAGCCGGGGGAGATAGCAGGGGACACAGGGTGAGAGACAGAGGGACGAAGAGAAGCCCACAGAGAGAGAAGGGAAGACTGAGACGAGAGGTCGTGGAAGAGGCAGAAAACCATGGTGGACCTAGGCCCACAGAGACAAAGAAGCAGGGGAAGACAGAGACACAGACACGGAGAGAGAGAGGGAGTGAAAGAGACAGAGAGAAACAAAGATATGCAAAGAAGATACAGAGAATGGCCTGGCATGGTGGCTCACTCCCGTCATCCCAGCACATTGGGAGGCCAAGGTGGGAAGACCGCTTGAACCCAGGAGTTCAAGACCAGCCGGGCAACATAGCGAGACCTCGTGTCTAAAAAAAAAAAAACACAAAACACACAAATAATAATCAGCTGGCAGGTGCCCCTCGTCCCAGCTATTTGGGAGGCTGAAGTGGGAGGATCGCCTGAACCCAGCAGGTTGAAGCTGTGGTGAGCTGTGATCGTGCCACTGCACTCCAGCCTGGGGGACAGAGTGAGAGGAGAGAGAGAGAGAGAGATACAGAGAAAGAGACACAGAAAAAAGACACAGAGAGCCAGAGAGAGAGAGGTACATGGATAAACTGCAGGGGAGGGGCAGAGATACACACAGAGACATGTAGGCAGAGACACCGAGAGGGAGACAGAGACACAAGGGCAGACAGGAGGGGCCGAGAGGGACTGGGCCCAGGCCCAGGTCCCAGGTCTGGGCCCCAACTGGCTGTGTGGCCCTGGGCAACCCCCTTTCCCTCTCTGTTCCTCTTGTGCACGCAAGGCCTTGAATCTTTTCCAAAGAAGGAAACTGCAGCCCTGGGAGGGGCAGGGACATGCCAGGATCTCTGTGAGGCTGGAAGGGGCTTCCCCAGGGGACTGGCAATCTCGAGACTTGCGGCTAGGAGAGATGCCCCCCAAGCCTGTCGCCTTGACCCCTCCCCACCCAGGCTGAGGCTCCTGGCTCCAGGGGCTCCCCTCCCCCCTCCCCACGGCCCACTCCATACCTGGTACTGCTGGCTCTCTGGCTCCAGCTGCAGGGGCGGGGGCATGGCTGGGGGCTGCAGGCAGGAACACGCGTGAGCCAGGCCTTGCCCCCTGCGTGCCCAGCCCTCCGCCCCTCGGCTTTTGGTGCTCCCCAAGTCCTGGGTTCGAAGCCCCATGGCCTCTCCCAGACGGTGAGTCCCCTGGTGGAGGGAATTCACCTCCCTGCACCTCAGTGTCTCCTTGGCAAATGGGCGCAAGGGTTCCAACTTCATGGGTGTCCAGGGCCTCACCCAGTAAGGTTCAGCCTCCCCGTCAGCAACTCTGCTTCTAAGCTCTTAGTCTTAGCGTTTTAAGTGTCTTTTTTTTGAGTTGGAGTCTCACTCTGTCGCCCAGGCTGGAGGGTAGTGGCACACTCACGGCCACCGCGGCCTCGACCTGCTGGGCTCTGGCGATCCTTTTGCCTCAGCCTTTCAAGTA